AGAAACCCACCACACAGCGGTGTTATTTAACTCTGCCCTCCACCGCCATAAACCAGCCTCCCACACCCACCGTGACGCAGATCTATTAATGGAGCAACAGGGTTTTTCTTTATCTGAATTTAAAGAGGTTTCGCAACGCTCCCAGGCACCTGCGTGCTGTGCAAGGCCAGGAGTGGGATTCAGAAAACCTTGAGATCCCCCTCAACTCGGGAAATTCTATCATTCCGGGTGTTTTACACCACAACAGCAAAGACAAAGCTTATCCTGGACTTCATCACCGAACAGATGAATTAGTTACAAACTCTAATAGAAAGCTTGGGGGTTTTTTTTCTCTCTCAAATCTCATGTTTTTTACGGCGTCAGGATAAAGTCTCCGACATTATGAACTGGCTTGTTTGTGCCTCCTGACCTGATTAAAAACCTTTTACTGAGGGAAACGGCCAGGAAAATCCTGTGGAGACATCCCTGTTGCCCCGCTGTGCCGTAGTGGGAGGAGCCCTCACACAGGGAAAAGGGGGGGGGGGGTCAGGGGGGAAAAAGGGAGGCGGAAAAAGAGGAGGGAAAAAGGGCGGGGGGAAGGAAGGAAGAAAGGGAAGAGAGAAAAGGAAAAAGAAAGGAAGGAGGTAGGCAGCGAGTTCGCAGAGCTGTGCCTCCCCCATACTCGGCCGAAAACACCCAGCGCTGAGGCAGCCGCCTCTCCCTCCAGCCCTCACCAACTCGCCCTTCCCCGTCCCTTTCCCCGCGTAGGCGAGAGGCGCCGACTCACCGATGTTGCCCTCCACGGCGACCTTCTTGAGGCGGCCTTCGGTCCTGCTACGCTTGGGCGGTGTGGCCATGGCGGCCTGAGGGGGCGCGCGGGGGCTCCTGAGGGGGCGCGAGACGAACCTGAGGGAGCGCGAGCCCCGGCCCCGCGCGCGCCGCCTTCAAATTTGGCGCGCGACAGCGGCGGGCCCGCCGGAGCGGGCGCTGACGTCACGGGCTCGCGCCGGCTCGCCGATCCCGCCGCAGGCCAGAGCAGCGGCACGCGGAGCGCGCAGCGGGAACGCGCCCGTGGCGCGCGCCCCCGCCTCACGAGCTGCTCCCGTTGTCAGCGCTGTGCCCTCCTCCGGGACAAAGGGAAGCGGCAAAGGACACAGAGCCACCCCCTGGCCACCGACTGCCTTGAAAACAACTCCAGGAACGAGCTGGCACTGGCACCCGAGCTGCCCTGAAAGGAGAGCGCCGGCACTCGAATTTACAGGGCTGTTACTGAAGGTAATTAGCAAGATATTCTTAACTTTCGGAAGCAATTCCATGCTTTAAGCTGGAATTCTTTAGTTCAGGAAGGAATTGTTCCCTGTGAGGGTGGGGAAACCCTGGCACGGGGTGCCCAGAGAAGCTGTGGCCACCCCATCCCTGAAGTGTCCATGGCCAGGCTGGACACTGGGGCTTGGAGCAGTGTGGGATAGCGGAGGGTGTCCCTGTCCATGGCAGGGGTGGAATGGGATGGGCTTTAAATTCCCTTCCAAACCAAACCTTTGTGGGCTTCTATGAAACTCTAAAACCTCCAAAACACACACTGAACCAAGTTAAAACAGGGGAAAATCCTGAGCCAAAGCAGATGGACACCAGCAGCGAGGCAGTCGTGGCCCCCAGTTGGTAAAAAATTCAAGTAAAAATCAGCTTTTTAACCACCTTGTCCCAGATTGCCCTGGAGCCATGTGTGTGAGGAACTTACCACGGGGCAGGGCACTGCAGCACTGGGTGTGGAGAGGAGGGCAGGAAATCTGGAGCACACCAGCTATTGGGGTCACAGGAGGCTCTTGGGAGAAAGAAAAGCCAAGAAAAGGCACCTGTGCTGCTGGGCAGGGCCAAAAGTGGAGCCTGCACTGCCTGCGGCACCTGCGACCCAACAACATCCTTGGGTGGGGCCTGGTCAGATGATTACAATATACCGGGGGGGGGTGGAAAAAAAAAAAATCCATTTACAAGTAGGAGAGCCTTGAGGAGCAAGTGCAAGAAGGAAATAAAGACAGACGTGGTCAAACATAGCTATTTAGTTTCTTATTGAAAAAAAAAAAAACCCTAGGATTTAAATATTTTGCCCCATCACATACAACCATCTGTATACATTATTTACAACTCTCAAATAAACACGGTGCGGATTTTCAGACATTCAACTTATTCTTTTTTGAATCAAAAGCTGTTTTCATTTAAAACTGAAATCTCCATCAGTGACTACAAACTGAAGCGGTATTGGCACAGTTAGCTCACAGTAAGGGTTCTCTCCTTGCATTTTAGACATTACACTGTATTTTCTCCCACGTATTTCAGGATTCTAAAGGAGGAGCAAAGGTTAGTGTCGCTTTCGGAGTTTGTTTTATTTTTTTTCCTTCAAAAATGGCCTTTTACTGAAGCCTCATTCATTTTTATTGCATCCTTCTCTCTCACCCAGTGCACATCAAGGCATGTGCCTCCACACCACACAAGCACAGCATTCCCAAGTAGTCAAACAGCCATCACAATAAGTGTTCCCTCCACGACACGGCTCGGAAAAATTGTCCCCAAGTTGCAAACGTACAAAAATAATGAGTATAGTTTAGTGGCTATAAAAAATTAATCTCCCCTAAAAATACAGTATTTTATGAACAATTTGGGGAATTGCTTCTTCCAACAAAATAAGGTAATTGGATATTTTCCTAGACTGCAAACTGAACCTGGCAAGAGGAAAACATAAGGAAAGCAGGGAAAGAAGAAGGTTTAACACTGAAAATCACCAATGTAAGTCTCATGTTAAAAGAGAAGATATCCAGGAAAAAAAAATGGGCATCCATAAAACTGCCAGTGGTTTTAGGAGTGAGGGATTGGAAAAGAGACAACTGCTACCAGCACTGAAGGAAAAGAGATTCAGTGCAAAAAGGGAATATTTCAGAGGGGAAAGAAGCAAGGAATCTCTGTTGGTGCTGCAGCTCCTTAAATAATCCAACTAAAAGGGGGTTATGTACAGTAACAGCACTCTGGCAGGCAGGAGAGGAGGAGAGGGCAGCAAGGAAAAACACAACTATCCAAAAGGATGTGTTTATAGTAAATTGTGTCTGGTGACCCCAGAGAAAGGAAGAGGGGTGAGAAATAGAAAGGAACAATCTGAAAGGTAAGTTGAGTCCATAGCAGCAAATAGGTGTCCTTACCTGTTAACTGAGGGTCAGGGACACTGGGAAAGGGCTCAGCTCCCAAGGACTGAGTAAGGACAGTGCTCCTCTCTACCTCCATGGAAAAGCAGAAGTTCAAAGCTCTACATTGCATAGTAAGCAGGAAAAGAAACTGGGTGCTCGCAGATGGGCTGCCTGCCCCTCAGAACCTGTTTTGTCCCCTCAGCCACCTGCACTAACAGAAGGTGCTGGTGTTGCTCCTCTGTGCAGGAGTCACCTGTATCCCTGACTTGGACTTGAAAGGCCTGGACAGCACATCCCACATCCATCCACCTGAGCACTGCCAGAGCTCCGTGCACTCGGCCCTTCACCCCATCCCAGCTCCAGGGAGGAGCCCTCCCCAAGTCACCACCCAAATCCCTGACAAGATCCAGCGTGCTGGCAGCAATAGACCACCACCAACCACAGGAATTCGGGAAACTAGCAGCCTGGAAGGCCTGAGGCAGCACTGGAAGCACAGCCTGCTTCAACCCCACTGGCACTTGGTGCTCCCCATGACCAAAGCTGGAAGGTTTTGTCTCCGAGCGCTCGTCACCCCTCCAAGTCCGGAGCGGGGGCCTGCAGCAGCGCAGGGTTTGTTTCTCTGGGGTTTGTTTGGAGGGGCAGGGGGTGTTCCCCCCTTTTCCTCCCATAAATGCACTGTTTTATAAACACATTCACTCGATCCAGATTCCACTGAGATTCCATTCCATTTCCATGTGCCCTTACTCCGAGAGTGTAAACACACGTCAATTTCTGGTCCCACAGCTTTCACAAGCGAAACAACAATGAAAAGCTGCAAAAGGAAACAGCACGGGGATCCTAAATCCCCACCACTGCAAACACGGCCTCAATGACGTTATTTTCAAGTGTTGTGTAATTAAACAATGTGTTCATACAGCTGTCAGGCAAATCATGATCTCCAAGCTTTTATTACATGCCTAGAAACTATTCGGTCAAAGACTCTCTACTGCCAGATACTGAATTTAAAAAACACACTATCCACCTAGGACTCACTTTTATACTCAAGACATCCCAATCGTGATTGGCTGAACTGCAGCAGATGCCTCTGGATTTCTGGAATTGGCTGTTCAAAAAAAACAAAGCTGCAACAACAACAAGAACTAAGCCCTCCTAGGGCAGAAGGGAGCCAGGAACAGAAACCACGGCACAGCTGTGCCCACACAAATCCTCATTTCTACACATTGATCTGTTTTGCTTCTTGCTGGCACACGGCACCAGACCAAGGAGTCACCCTGACATTCAACGGGAGACAGGACCTGTTGAGCACCTCGGAGCTCCTGCCTTGTTCACTCTGTGTCTAAACCGTGCAGTGTGAATTTGAGAGATCCATTTCACACTGTGGGCTGGATGGTGGCACAGGAAAAGCCAGAAGATCAGGATCCCTCAGTGGAACCCAGCAGCTCCCAAGTGAGTCATTTGTGTGCTCAGCTGTTCCCTGCTGGCTGTGCCCATGGCCACTCAGCTCTTGAGCACGCTCCTGCACGCCAGTTCCAGCTTTACTCAGCGTTTTTGGTCGAGCCAAGGCATGCAAAACAGAAGCTCAGCTTCTCTGTCACGTGCTCACCTTGGCCTCACCTGTTCCTGTTGCTTTTCCCAACAGCTGGAGCTCCCTGAAGGTGGGCAGAGATTTTAACCATCACAATAACAATTTCATGGGCTGCTTTGGAGTTTTATCTCCCCTCCAAGACACATTTCCTCAAACAGAAAACTCTGGCCACCACAGTCCCTCCTCTGAGCCAGGCTTTGTATTCCTAACTTAAAAACACCTTTCCATCAGTTATTTTTCAAGCCAGGTTTTCTTTATTATTATTACTACTATCCAAGTGCAATCTTTTACAGGGAATATTTTCCCTAATGGTATTTGTGCAAACTACCTGCTCATTTGGCAACTGCTAGGAGAACTTAACAAGCTGGCTGACCCAACTGATGCTTTCCTGCTAAGAAAATAAAAGCAACTATGTAAAGTCCCACGGCAGCAGACATGGAACTCCTTGCTAAGCACAAGGTCTGTGTAATTTTACCACCTTTGCTGTTTTGCTTTAGCAAGAACTTTGCTTTTCTTTATAAGAAGTAATCTAGTTTTGAAAAATTCTATATTCATCTCTAAAAAAATAAGACAAGTATTTGTATTAAAAGCTGGAGATCATTGATTTCAGCAAGTTATGGCTTTTTTTTTTTTGTGTGTAAGCACAGATACATATTTTTAAAACAAGTTTCAGTAAGTGTCTGGGTGTTAGTACATATTTTCTGTTTCCAGCAATGTTCAGTATTGTATGTGCTTTGCACCTCAGAAGTGAGTCTGCCAAGGCACTTAGAGAATGTAAGCAAGTCTTCCAGGGACTTCATGAGAATGGGCTACCACTGCCACAACACAAGAACCCATCCACCAGCACAGTCAATCCCCCAACCAAGCACGTTTCCTTTATAAACACTCAGCACCTCCTAGAAATTCCACAATGAGTAACAACAATAAAATAATAATTAAAAAAAAGCTATTTACCACATGTCACTAACAGAGAAAAGATTTCCCCTAATAAAAGCACAGAAAGTAGATCTCAGCTGTCACTGGTAACAGCATAGGGGGGGTTGTTTTGTTTTTAAAAAAAAACAAATTAACAAAAAACAAATACCACACGCTCGCTTAAAGAAACAAGTGATTTGAAGAAGTCCTCTTCCTTTTATCTGTCCTTGGAGGTGAGTTTTTCAATCAGTTCTTGAAGTGGTGCAAGTTCTCTTCTATCAATAAGATTGAATTCCTGTAAGAGGGATGAGGAAAGACACACATACAGAGTTTTGTGGGTAGAGCTCAGGTGAGAAGCCTTATTTAGCCACAATTCATTTGGCAATCAGCTTTCCAAGCCCCACAGCCTCCCCTGCCTGTCTGCCACTCGCTGACCAGCAGGGTTCCACTGCCTGAAGCTTTTCCTCCCTCTTAAAGAAAGAAAACTTCGGAAGATGCTGATTTTTTTCCACAAGGGAAGGGGGATAACATAGCTTGGAAACGAGGACACTGTTTGCAATGTCCTTACCTGAACAAAAAATATAAAGTGCTTGAAAGAAGTGTTGAGGTGTGCCTCTTCCTGCAGCTGGATCACAGGGTCAAAGTGCTGGTGGTAGATGTGAGCATAAACTCTGAAGAGACGCTTGAGAATTGTCTTGGCCACTGACATGAAGTTCTTTGGGAATGGTACACCTGGGAAGAAGAAAACACATGGCTTATTCTTCAACTCCCAGGCTGTGCTTGTCTGTTTGGAAAGCCACTACAACCCAGGACAGATGGAATCGGTTTCAACAGCACACATCTTTGCTACTGCACAGGTTTTATTAAAATGGGCTGGGAAATGGCTACTGGCTACTGGGAGCAATGAACTCTCTAGTTGTCACTTCCCCAGGCTAAAAAAAGATGTGTATCAACCATCTGAAAAGAGGAAACCTGTCTAGCTTCTCCTCACCTACCAGTCTCCACAGCCAGCTTAGCTCTTTTGCAGCCTTTCCAAGTGCTCCAGTCCTGCCTGAAGGCCAGGGGCCTGAGCTCTGGATGCTCTGAGGCCACTCAGGACCTCACCAATGCTCTCAGGTCCCACCATTAATGTTTTCATGCTCCTGCTTCAGCCTGCCCTGCACACATGTACATGGCATTTCCTCCTCTGGCTGCTGCAGCACACGGGAAATTCATATTTAGCTGGTTACTTTGTGGCCTCTGAACCTCTCTCTGAAGGCACAGTTTCTCCAAAAAAGCTAAATGAAAATGTGTCAAAAGCCTCAGAAACTACTTAGAAAATTAAGTCAACTAAGAGATCTCCCCCATCATCTTCTCCAAACTGCTGGTGGCTCATTAGCTCCCTCCTGCTTTTCTGAAAGAAGCCTCTTTAAAACATCTATTTTTCATCTTCACTTGAAAAAAAATCCAAGCAAAAAAATCATCATCTTAAGATCAAAGCTGCAATTCAGCTTCTTTGGAGATAAGGCCTCAAAGTTCCTCATAAGACCCAAACATCTCTTCTGTGACAAAAAGCTGTCAGTTACTGGTTATAAGTTCTAAAGAAACTACTCACTGCTCCAAATGAGTAAAACACCAGACTGGATGAACAGAGCCAGTTCTTTGCTAGAAATGGAACTTCCTGCATCCAGAATTGTGACAGGTGTTTATTAGGAGTACTAATACATGGATCAGAGTTCATGTATTACAACACCTCTTAAAAGATGGGTGTGTTTGATAGATAATGTAACCTCCTAAACCTGCCCTACACATCAAGCACTAAGAAAGCTTTTTAATGCTGCAGGACTGGGGTGCTCCTGTGCAGGTGTGACCCAAGTCCAGTTGCAGTTTTACTCACTCACCTATTTTAGAAGGAAACAGCGTCTCGTCATCCAGCTGATCCTGGACCCAGGTCATCAGGTAATCGATGTACTTGGGTGCAGAGCACTTGATGGGTTTCTTGATGTTTGTGCCATCTGCCCAGTGGTACTCGTACCTGGGGTGAGACAAGGCGGCCTTGAGCACCAGTGAATCACTCCTGAAGGGTCTGCAAGGCTGCTCCTCCTGCTCCCCGTGCTCCCACACCCTCCCACTGGGAGTCACCATGGCCTGCTCCTCCCCCTGCCTCCCCACTGCAATCCTGCAGGCCTTCCCAAGCTTCAGCCACGCTGCCACAGCAGCTGACAACAGGCAACATCTGCAGCACCTTCCAGCCACACACATCACAGCCCTCCAGCTGAGGGAATTTCTTTGCATTTGGAAATATTCTTACTAAATTTTGCATAGCGGAAAGCCAAACTAGCTTAGCTCCCGCCAGAGATCCCAAATCACAGCTCCTCAACAGACACAGGGAGGTTCCAAGGAATGCTGTTAAAAATTGGCAGTTGATACCAAGTGCCTTTCAGCTAAAAGAAGAGGTCTGAAGCAATCTGTGCTGGTGGAAGATGTCCCTGCACGTGGTTGAAACGAGATGAGCCTTAAGGTCCCTTCCTACTCAGAGCAGTCTGGGATTCTGATTCTGTGGCTAAGAAAACTTCTAGGCTACATACAGAACCAGGCACAACCAAATCCTGGTCAAATTCAGAACACAGCAGCTATTTTGCCTGGCTTGGGGAATGCAGCTGACACCGGATGATTATTCAGATGGTGGATAATGTTGGAAGACACTGCTTAAAAACCCCAAATGCACCTAACATGGGGAGTCTGACAGTACCAGCTCCCAGATGAACCACAGGGTTCACAAACAGGCTTCTATGCAAAGCTTAGCTTCATCTGAAACATCTGTCCTCTCTATTTGTTTAGCAAATTTGGTTTTGTCAGAACAACTACTGGGAGGATATTTTCACCCTCAACAAATTTGATGAGTGATTAGGAAGGTGCTGCTCCCAACGGGACAAAAAACCCCATTTTTCTAACAGCAACAAATGAGAGGGTCTGAAAGCATTTTAAAATGGTATCTAAGAACATATGCAAAAATCCCAGACACACCAAATGGACCATGTGTCTGGATTTATGAAAAAACAGGATTTCTCACCACCCAGCACTGCCCTAATACCACGATTTAAATGGCATTCATGTAGGACAAATACCAACACTTAGCTGAGGTGCCAGGATCAGTCTGGAGCCAGAGCAAAATAAACTGGATTAGAGAGCAAGAAAAAGCACAAACACTGGATGTCTCAACACAAGTATAAGCAAGAATCCAAGAAGGGCACAGGGATTCTTATCCAGACATCTAGTATTTCTACAATACCTACAAGGAAGATTTTGGTAAGTCCTAATGGAATGCCTGCATATAAAAACTTTCAATCTTCATTTAGGAAGCCCTCATTAATGTTTCAGGAAAAAAAACAGAAGGGAAAAAATAATTTTGATAATTAATTTACTTCCCAGGTTAGAAGTAAAAAAAAAAAACAAAAAAACCCCCACCATACAAATATAAAAACAGACCAAAAAAACCAAGTTTCTATTCCCCACCTCCTTCTTCTCTTTCACATCCTTGCCACCCAACTCTGGCACTCATCTCAGCCAGTCTCAAGTTTTTAAATGAGTAATGATGTCAAAAACTGCACCCAGCCAACAGTGACAAACAGGCTCTTACTTGGGGCCAGCAGACATCACGGGGCAGCTCTCCTCCGTGCAGAAGTCCGTGATGGTTCCATACAGCATGTTGATCTGGTTGAAGAAGTCAACAGCTGAAAAGCACAGAAACCACCCATTAGCACTATGTAGCACAAGATTGCTACAGCCCAGACTGCAAAGCACAGGTTCTGGAAAGGGTTTTGGGAAAAAAAAACTTCATTGCTGTTGCTTTTTTAAGATCCATTATAAAAGAGATGCAGAATGCAACCACCAACTTTCTGGAACAGCCTCCAGCAAGAACTGTTTAATTGTTCACTGCAGCAAAGCCTGCAGCTGGAAGAAGAAATAGGAAGGAGAGAGCCTAGTTATTTCCTTTCCTGAAAGTCTGGTGCATTTTATTACAACCCCAAATTCTACTGGCAAGTGTGGAAGCAAAGAAAGATTTTCAGCATAAACTTTCCAACTAGAGAGAGCAGGTACTGGTTAGGTGACAGTGACTTCCCTCAGGGCTTGCATTCCAAAGGCCCACCTTTCCCAAGAACCTCTCATACAATCCCTGACTGCTTCGGGTGGGATGGGGATTTAAAGCCCATCCAGATCCATTCCTGCCATGGGTAGGAACACCTTCCACTGTCCCAGGCTGCTCCAAGCCCCATCCAACCTGGCCTTGGACACTGCCAGGGATCCAGGGACAGCCACAGCTTCTCTGGGCACCCTGTGCCAGGGCCTGCCCACCCTCACAGGGAAGGGTTTCTTTCTCATAGTCCATCTAACTCCGCTGGTATAGTGACTCTTTCAGTTAATTACTCCAAGCTCTTTGAAAAGAAGGTTCTTTTTCAATAACTAACAGCAGGTTCTGTCACGAGGAACTGTGGTCACTGCAATCAGATTACAAAATCTACTTCATCTGCGGCTATCTTTCAGAGGATAAATGGCCAAGATCAGACCAACGTCACTGGAGCACGTCACAGCTCCTGCTCGGCACATGCAGGACAGCAGCCCTCGCTTCTCAAGTGCCCATGGGAACTGTTAATTAAGTTTCCATTCCCTGCTCCCAGCAGAAACCACAGCCCACTGTTTGCTTCAAGGCAAGAATGCTCAGAAAACCCACACAGGCTCCGACAAAATGACTGATGATGGCAAAACCCACACTTGCAAGGCTCAAAATGCACAGGCACATCAAGTCATTCCCTGACACACCAGTCAGGCTGAGAGCTGAGCAAGCAGCAGGGCAGAGCACATTCGGGTCTGTGTTCTCAAGGCCAAGAAGGGTAAAAGCAGTGATTTGAAGTCACACATTTTGCCTCCCCACAAGACCACTCTGTGAGCAGAAGGGGCTCACAGCTACTGCTGGATCTCAGTGTGGTGCAGGGATGCTGAGGGAAAGGAGCATGTCACCAGCTCACTCTTTAATTACACAGCCACAATTTCATTCCAGCTACTTCAGCAGCTGGGTCATTCATTGGGGAAGGGAAAACCTGCTGCCCCACAGGACAGCAGAGACACGGAGTGAAAGAACCACCAAAAGGGAAGGATGCCAGCAATACATGAAGCATCTTTAGCAATGCTTACTCACACAAGTGGGCTGGCTTTTTCTCTAGTCAGTTTTGCAATGCAGTGTGAATTAACTTTTGCAAAGGATGGTGTCAGCCATTCCAGCCTGCCCTGGAAGCAGTGGCAAGGGGAGCACCAGAGCACGGCATGACTGGTGGAGAACAGGAAGGTGGAAGGCACTGTGACTGTTTCACTTCCCAAATGTGTCCAAGAGCAAGAAGAAAAAAGGAAGAACCACAGAAACAATTAGAGGGCATTTAACTCCAGCATAATTTCTACTGCAGTGGACAATCAACCCTGTACCATCACAGGAGCACATCAAGCCTGAGAAGCACAAGATGAGGAAGCACCCAGACAGGGCACAGAGCCTGGGGCAGCCAAAACTGCACAGGCTACGGAGTGTGAAGGGAGAATCCATTCTTTAGGAGCAGAGGGCAAAATTCATGAAGGGTCGAGAGGCAGGAGGAAGAAACAAGGTCAAGCAATCAGAAAATGCTAATTTAGGCATCATTGTTTGGCCTGAAAGCACAGAGTTTGGACAAACAGCTTTAGAGGAAGTTAAAAGAATGACATCAGAGACTTACCAGAGCACAGGCTCAAAACTTGGTAGGAACTAAAGGAACTAACTTTAGGGAAATTACAAACCCCCTTAGAATCACAGAACCATTCCACTTGGAGAAGACCTCTGAGACCATCAAGTCCAACCTGTGGCTGATGCCCACCTTCTGATAGCCATGTCTAGCTGTTCCCTGGACATCTCCTGGGATAGGGATTCCAACATCTCCAATGCTTGACAACATTTTCATGAAGAAATTCTACCTGCTGTCCAGTCTGAACCCTGAGGCTGTTTCCCATCACCCTGTCCCTGTTCCCTGCTGGGAGCAAAGCCTGGCCCTCACCTGGCTGCACCCTCCTGCCAGGGAGCTGTAGAGAGCAAGGTCCCCCAATCCCCCTTTTCTTCAGGGATAGGAAGGGACACACAGCCGTCCTCCTACAAGTATCAGCCCAGTTTCAACACCCCAGTGATGAACAAAAGGCCAGAGACTCACTGTTAACTGCAACCCATTCATTCAAGTCCTCCCCCTCTGGAAGCATCACAGCCATCCGGAGGTTGCCGCTCCCCAGCGTGGCCTCGGCATGTTTGAGCAGCTCGTACTGATGAGAGCCCTCGGGAATGTTCTTCTTTGGTTTGAAGGTTTTGGAAGAGCGACTACCACTGCAAAAGAGAGAGGAAATATTTAGAGACCTTTTGGAAAGGGAAGTGAAAAGGAAACAAGCAGACCAGTCCAAGGCAAGGACAAGATTAACATTAAATATTTTATCCACTCGCCTATTTTCACGTTGCAACAGAATATTTACCAAAGAACTGGAATGCTAAAGTAGCAGGTATGCTGACTTTTTTAAAATAATTTTCTGACCCAATCACTTCCTTACCTAAAATTTTGTTTAGAAAAACATGGACTATCTTAGAAAAAACGTTTAGATATTAGAATTTTAAACCATGGCAGTGAGCCCGGATGGCACATGAGCACCTAACATGTCAGAAACATGATGTGTAGAATTAAATATTTGCAGAGAAGTGTCAAATGAGTCAATATTTGTGAGTATTTTCGTGTATGAGCTGAGAAAAGACTTCTGTCAGAACAGTCAAGCTAAGCTCTGAATTCCAATGAAAGCGGAAAATTGTGAAAGCCAGACAGCACAATTCTCACTACAAATATTATCCAGATCTCATTTCTTGATACAAAGACTTGGCCAATGTTTCACCATCTCTCTAAGGACCAAACAGATTTTTTTTACTGGTGGGGTGCAGGGGTTGTCTCTCTTTATTCTAGGAAGAAATCCTTTACTTAGCAAGACATTGTCCCCTGTGAGGGAGGGGAGGCCTTGGCACAGGGTGCCCAGAGAAGCTGTGGATGCCCCTGGATCCGTGGAAGTGTCCAAGGCCAGGCTGGAAGGGCTTGGAGAAACCTGGGATAGTGGAAGGTGTCCCTGCCCGTGGCAGGGGGTGGAACTGAATGGTCTTTAAACCATTTGGAATGAGATGGGCTTGGAGGTCACTGCTAACACAAACCATCCTGGGATTCTGTTCCACGGTCCCAGAGCTGCTCTGACTCTCTGGCCCCCCGAGGAGCAGCAGCAGCAGCATCCTCCCCTTCCCACAGGCCTCTGCAGTAATCCTGGGTGCGGGTTGTTGTCAACAAGGGCTTGCCTGGACTTCCAGAGATCCTGGGATGGTACAGCTATGTACATTTGCACGGGACACCACAGCCAAATGCTGAATAAAATAATTGTCTCCCAGTGGGAGTGAGCAGCTTCTGTGGCCCGGGGAGTTGCTGTCACCTCCCACCCCTGCAGTCACCTGCATCTGCCAGGCCAGCCTCAAACAGCTCTGAACAATGAAGAACCTGAAAAAAAACCCAACAAACAAAACCTCCAAATCTATTGACTAACTACTTTACTTCAACCCAATTATTTTATTTTCAGGAACGCAGCCATTTGAGAGGCACTTTGCCAACATGAGGAGTGAAAATACAACCTAAAACATCTGGAGAGCAGAAGAGACTGGGATCATTGTCTTTCCACATGTGTCAGCATAAGCAGAAGGAACCTAGCACGAGCTAAACACAACCCAGAAAAAGGCTATAAAATAACCAACTCAACTAACTGTTTGCATTTCAGCACAGAGTAAGCCCAACAAAGGGACGAGGGTTTGGGAAGAGGGCACAAGGAAAGCACGGTGAAAGAATCCCCTAAATAAGTAGTTTATTCTGAGAAACTCTGGGTAGGAATTCACTGTACCCACTCCAGCTCTTAGGTTCTGCCAGACAACAAACCAAGTCACTGCAGATCTGTTGAATACCCTGCACAGATCCATGATCAAAGAACCAGAAAATGCAACACGTTGGAAAAAGCTTGAGGTACCATTTAATCCCTTCTCCCCACTCCCCAGAAACAGGGGGGTCCTCCCCATAAGCTGTCCAAGGCTGTAACAACAGAATGAACTACTGCTCTAAATAAACCATTCCATCTTTGCCTCCAACACCTTTCTGATCCCTGCTTCTCAAGTACAGCACAGCCACCCTAAGCCAGCAGGAAACAAAAGGCAGGCAGGCAGGCATCCAAAATGAAAAGTAATTAGGATAACTGCAGCCTGGTAGTCGTTGTGTGCTATGGAAATACCTGCAATTTTGGCAATCAATTATCAGAATTCCATGCATTTATGCAGTTCACAGAAGCCAGCTAACACACTCCCTGAGACACAGGGACAGCCTAATGCAGCTTCTCTAAGATGAAATCTTTATAGGATGTGGCTTTTCTTTGAAAGTCTGGTTAAAAATATTGCATTAATAAGCAGTATTCCAATTACCTTATTAGTTCAGAAGCTCTCCTATACTTAACCAAAACATAATTACTTTTTCCTACTATGCCAATCTGTTTCACGTGACAGATTCAGCAAGTTGTCTTGACCCAGGTCTACTTCCTCAACTGCTTGAGCAATCAGTGAAGAAAGTGACTTTAAAGAGTTCTGCCTGGTGGCCAACAATACACACGATCACCTGTGTCTGGGTCATGTGTGACATGTTATTTTCAGCTACATTCCTTAATGGAATTAGCCATTTCTGTCGAGGTTTTAGAATGCTTTAAGACAGCAGGCAGCACCTGCCTTGTCCTGTTAAGAGTCTGTGAGCTCTCCTTCACATGAATGCAGAAGTGAGAGAGGACAGAGAAAGTGAAGATGCCATTTTCCTTGGACACAAAAAGGCCATCAAAGGGGGAGCACGTTGCACCATCCCCACTATGTGCCACAACTGCAGCCTTTCAAGGAGAAGCGACCTCAAGGAATTCCTGTGATTCCAGGGACGCTTGGCTCCCTTCACTCCCCCATCCCACGTTTCCAGCAAATGCTGCCCGGCTATTTTTACCGGGAGCTGCAGCCCCAGCAGTGGCAGCTGCAGCCCAGCACTAAATGAGGAGCAGTCTGAGGCTGTGTGCGGGCTCGGCAGCTCAGCAAGCCCTTCCCACCGGCAGAGCCCACGCAGCCACGTCACGGCTGGCCTGCAAGCAGCACCACCACATTTCCTCCAAAGCTCTCCTCTGGGCCACGTCTGGGTGGGTTTGGTGATGCACCTTCTGGGGGCTGCTAAGAGGATGTTTCCAGAAGAAAGGAAAAATTTGAGGCGCTCTGCTCACCCCACGCTGCCTCAACAGCTCAGCTCAGTTTCAAACACAGCACTGGCAGATGTTCTGCACTCAAACTGCTTAAACGTCCAGCCTCACCTCCTGATAAACTCCCCAGCAACTGCTCCCAGGAGAAGCCCTTGAGCTGGCCTAGCTTAAGCCTCCTCACTCCTAACCATTTGTCCCCAGAGCCTTTCAGCAGAGATTCGTATCCATTTCCACCAAGTCTGCTCCAGATTTGGGGAACCTGAATTAAACCAAGTAAGTTTAGGCTTGTTCTCCCCACAGAAGGAACCTCGGGCTCTCACGTGCTGGGCACTGGCAGCATTTTCGGCACACACCTGCCACCTACGTTCCTCTAGCTGCTCCCTAATGCTGAGGCCCCCTTCCTTGGGGGAAGGAGTGAGTGACTAACTCCTGGAAGCACATCTGTCCCACTCAGTGACTCCCCAAAGCCATCACCACCACGGTCAGGCTGAAATAAGCCCTTCAAAGTATTTGGGAAAGCTCAAGAGAGTCTCAAAAAGCTGAACCCAAGACCGTGCACAGAACATTCACGCAGGGTATGGAAACTTGTGCTATTGTAACTCCTGCTTTTTCACCTTCAAAGCCTTTACAGGCATTAATTAATCCTCACAAACTATCTTTGAAGCAGGGGTCATTAGTGTCTCATTACACAGAGAAAATGAGGCAGCAAACACTGCCACAGGCCAAGAAGTGCATTTGTCAAAGAAGCCCCCGAGTTTAAGCTCTGCTCTTCTTCCTCTCCCTTCTCGTGCTGTGCCTCTTTTTAAACACAGAAACACTCCAAGACAAGACCCAAATTCCAGAAAAGCAAACATTTCCAGCCTTTAAACAATAATACAGGCCTTCAAATGATAACATCCTGCTAAGAATAGAAACAGAGTAAGATGGGTTTGTTTTCACCAGCCAACATGTCAACATTGAAATGAAAATAAAAGCTCAAGTTACTTTTTTGACAACGAAATCAATAGCTGCATCCTTGAAACACGTTTTTCTGTGACAACCACAGCATCAGCAGGTAAAATTAAGCTGAACATGCTCAAAATCTGCACTGATGAGATTGAACTTGAGCATTTCTATTTATAAAACCGAATCGTCACAACATTTCTCTTCTGAAGAGAGACAGTGTGAGAGCAAAGCGTTGCTTTCCTCAGTTCTTACAGCACCAAAAATTCAGCTTTTTGCAATCTAATTCCCATTCACTGCAGTAAGCCTGTCTCAGCCCAGTCACTTGAACCAGCAGGTAACAAAAGCAAGGCAAGATTTCAGGATGCATTCCATGCAGCAGCTCTGGGAAGCAGTTAGGAGCTGCCAACTCCTTACACAACACAGTTGCTCTCTCAGAGGGTAAGGCAATGGTTTGTAAGCAATTCCAGGCCTAGAGCTTTTGCTTTGGTCTAAGGAGGAATCGCTGGCAGTGACTTGAAAAACTTTGCCAGACACAAGGTGATTTCCATAGGAACAGAAAACATGGGGTTTCTTGTTTATTAGCTACACCACAGAGTAACTTCAACTCTCTGTAGGCTTTTCAACCCGAAGATGCTTCTCAAGGAGAAGCATTTCCTTCTACTGCAGTAGTGACAGGGAAGTCAGTGTTGCTATGAGATTTTTCCTTCTCTACCCATCAAGGTGGGGATTGAAATCTGGCTTCCCCCTCTAGGGAAAAAAGCTGTCTTCACAGACTAAAGCTCCCTACAGGATGGCAGATGAAAAAGGCACAATGTCACGAACAGCTCTAAAAAAACACAGGTGCCATTATACACACGACTCCACACATTAAAAGAGCAGACATTTATCAGATGATTCACATCCAGGAAATATAAGGGTATTTAAGGTAGCCTTAAGGAACACTTTTGCTTTTGCTTGCCCCAGCCACCACCCCTCAGTGTCAAAGCCGACATAACCCGTACACTTTCACATCCTTACAACGCATTTTTTTCTGCTATACATACACAGTGCAGGGTCAGTGCCCGTGTGGGATTGGTCCAGCACAACTCTGACATGCACCAG